ATTAGAAATAAATATTTCACGATCTATAATGACCTACTGTTTCTGTGATTCATTGCTATGCTTTAATTATGTTCCATTTGTAACAATGAAAATATATCCCGCTTATCAGATATTTACATGACGATTCATAACGGTAGCAAACTTCCAGTGATGAAGTAGCAATGAAAATCATTTTATGGTTGGGGTCACCACCACATGAGGCACTGTCTGAAAGGGTCTCCGTGTTAGGAAGGCTGAGAACCACCGCTCTAGGCCAACCCCTTGACTCCACTGAAAACTGAAGAAGCAATATTCCACCCAAAAGGCTTCAGCCCCTGCCAGTGAGTCGGGCTCACAGCTGCCCCGTGCAGCATTTCTGAGGCTGTAAATCTTTACGGGAGCATATAGGCTCATCATTCTCCCTCAGCGCAGCGTGGGGGTTTGAGCCACTCGGAACCGATCTGGTGGCACCTATCCAGACCCTGCAGCTAACAGACCAACACTGAGCAGACAGCGCCAAGTGAAGGAACGCTAAACTGCCAAGGAGGAGCTCCGTTCCCCAGTTGCTCTCCGGAGGCTGGCAGAGTCGGCTGAATCTAACCATTAGATTTTGCTTTTTAAGGACAACAGTATAGAATAGATGAATTTATTATCCTGCAATAGGAAATATGTAAGGGGAAGGAAGAGGGAATATTTTCTACACATCTGAAGAACGCACAAAAGGAAAACTCCAAACCTGCTGTCATGGGGTCACTTCTAACTCACCCTATAGGACACACTGGGACTGATCCTGAGGGTTTCTGAGACTGTCCGTCTTTGTGGGAGCAGACAACCTCAGCTTTCTCCCAGGAAGCAGCTGATGGGCTCAAACCACCCAACTTTTCGGTCAGCAGCCGAGCACTGTCAACACTGGTCCATGGAGAATACACAGACCCCTCTAAAAATCACAGAATTTCTTTGCACTGACAATATCGGGGATAAATAAGCTAAAATTTAATAGACCGTTTAAATTCCCGGTTGATGGTAATTAGAAAGCAAGCAGTAGTTCTTTAAAGGCTGCTAGACAGAACTTAATCCAATTTAGGTAATCACTAACCTTTGCATGTTTTCTCGGTCTCTCTACCCCCACCCAACATTGCAATGTGGAAATCCATGGATTAATCTACAAAGACCACACATTGGCAAAGTATAAGAAAAGGATATTTAAAGAGAGGGATTGGGTGACTGGTACCGAAGACGGCCAAGTCCAGTGAACCAGGAAACATCTCAGGGCCTCCCTAATTTATATCGACAGGAATCGGCTACTCTAATGACCAAGTCCCTTTGTGACAGTAGCCCTCCCGCACTTTTCCCTCTGGGGAATGCCTTCTGCTGTGCCAGTGGTCAGGACTTCCCAGGCAACCCAAGTAATTCTCTCCTTCCTCCATAGAATAACTACTGTTAGAATCATCCAAGCTGTTCCAAGATCACCCATCTCCTGCCCCTTAATTTCAGGGCTCCCACATTGCACTAACATCAACTTTTGACCCAGAAATTTCATGTAAAACCACTAGGAGCGTCTGAGTTCTTGGGATTTGAGATTCGTCATCGGAGGCCTCTCCAAGGGGAGATGTCAAAATGCACCGGAAAGAACAAGGGGATCCTAAGTCAATGGCTTGGTGACATGGGTAAGACACAACCCTTTCTGAGATTCTGTTCTCTCTCATTAAAATGGAGAAAATAGCATCTACCTTCCCAAGTGGTTCGGAGGTTCCAGTAACATGATCATAACCTAGTTGCCCTTTCTATAGGTTGGCTCGTATGTTCTACCTACCCAATTTTCCAGTAAACCCTGGATCCCCGGTTCAGTGTGAATTAACGCACGTCTGCCTTTGATGCCCTAGGATTTTCTTCTGCCAAGTGGCCATCATCCCTCTTTTCTTGGCCCTAACGTGGCCCCTTGCCTTATAAAACAGTGTCTTCTGCTTCTCAGGGTATTACTCTCTGCGCTCCCTAATTCTAAACCTAGTCCATAAAAGATCCACAAGATGCTGTATTCCCCAATTTCAACAAGTGAGATATTAAATCCACACTAACTTGTTAACAACTGATCATCACTCTGTGCATTGCCTTTAATCAGGGTTCACATCTAGGGAGACGTGTGCTAGGGACCAAACCTTTAATGACAAGTGCGAGACACCATAGGCATCTTTTACAGGGCTTCACACTCAGTTTCTCAGGTCAACCAATTCTACATGGGTCTAGCGCCGCATAAAACGATTATGCGGGAAAAGGCTGCCACTCCGGAGAGATTGCAGCCCAAGTTCCCTTTGATAAGGGTAGGACAAAAAGAATGGCCCTAGGGAAATAGACGCATGCAAAGTGACAAATCATTTTCAAAAAACAACCATTGCCATCAAGTCAAAGCCGCATCATGGTGACCCGACAGGACAGGGGAGCACTATCCCTGTGGATCGTTAGGGTCAAAAGATGTAAAAAATAAATAATTTTTTTTCCTCATGAAATCCAGTCTGTAGGGCATTCAATTTTCTACAGGCACATTAAACACATGACATTTTGATCTGAGATACTAACACTCGATTTTCAGATAGTGTCACAGCTTTCTAAAGACAAGATTTTATCCAATAAGTGAGTCATTTTGTGACATTTTGTAGCATTACAAAAAGAAGCAGCTACCAATTCAATAAACTTAGGCTGATCTAATCAGCAGCTGGAGAATTACAAGGAAGCACAGCCCCACACGGGCTGGCCCTCCGGGCCTCAAGTCCTAGACCTGGCATCCATTCTCAACTCCGTGGCTATGTGTGTGTGGCCTAGGGCCTCAGTGGGCTTACTGGACAAATGGGGATGTGAGAGAACCGTCCTTGATTTTGTTGTGAAGATTGTATGTTGTCATCAAAACCTCTTGGCACAAAGTCTAAAACATGCAAAACCTCAAGAGAGGCTTGTCCCATTGTTAAAAAGGGGAAACGTAATCTTTTCATTTCAAACGCATCACCTAACACAACTCTCCATCGAAACACACATGGATGGCTCTCTAGATTGAAGGGCCCACCCTTGAGAACCAACCAGTTGGAGTCGTTTATTTCTGATGCCTTTCTTTTTACACTTTCACGCTTTTTTACACTCAAGCTCTCAGAAGTTTTAGTAAACACTGGAAGGGCAATGGGTGGGAAAGAAAAATTGAACACAACTTCATGGCTTGACTAAGCAAGGCTTTTACTGCAAAACTACTTCCCACAAAAATCGCTATGGCCAGCACCCTCGGCTGAAGGGGAGACCAGCCCCCCCCC